ACGTATGGAGTCTCATGGTTTTTCTTTCCTAATTATTAAATGGAGAGGTGCTGACAGACCCGGATTGTTGTTGGGGGCAATATGCTGACTCTGTAAACCGCTTAGAGAGGGCTGAAAGCCCTATGAAGCGGTATATAAGTCTAACTGCTATTGCTATGATTTCACAACACTGACTTGAAGGCATATGTGCACACAGAGAAACACATAGGCTTTCATCTTTGTCAGAAGTTGTGTTTTTTTCTATCTTGGAGCTAATTCTTCCTCACCTGGTGGTGTGTAATCAGCTCATGCTTCACAGTGCTGCCTTTTGTTACCCCCACATTGCACACTGCAATGCAACAGTGAATACATCCCAATCTACCTAATTCAAGAAATTACATTATTCAAGAAATTACATTTTTTACACTCTGGTTTACTTATTATACACACATTATTTATCTGTCATTTTCATTTGCTAGAGGCAGCTCATAATCTACTTTTGTAATAATTTTATTGCAGTCATCCACCAGCACAAAGGAATTGGTATTCAGATATTCAAAACTAAACTGACAATTTCAGCACAGTTAGAAAAGATACATATAAACAAAGAATTTTGATAAAAATACAATATTAAATCGTATAGTATAAATCTTTATTATGGTCAAATACCAGCAATACACATTACTTTTTGCAATATATTAAAAAAGTACTGACATTAAAATATATTTTAAAAGTATTGACATTAAAAGTGGATAATAATATACATGTTCACAAACTGTTCGGGTCACTCCCTGGTTTACATGGGTGAAAGGCCGATAGGTATGGGAGTAAATACAATGGTCCAGAAATTGTTAGAGATACGTCCAAATAATTGGTACAATTATTGGTACAAGATGACAACTATAATTCTGTATTCAATTTTTTTCTTGTGGACATTGCAGCAACACCGAATTTTGCCACTACATACGTGGTAGCTGGGTTTGTGTCCTGGAGGAGAAAGCCTACATAAAAATTGTCTGCCCTCTCTGGCAATCTCTCTAATAAGGGGAGAATGTATGCAGACCTGTTGTGGCCCAGCATGATCCGCTTGAGCTGCTGATGGACTCGAATAGCGAGGAACCATATGAGTCTGCCCTGGACGATGTGGAGGACCCTGAGCAGGGACCAGAGAGGCTGGTTGGCCACCAGGAGGCGCCTGAGGCATGGAGCAGTGGGGAGGATCAAAGGCAGTTTGTCCCTGATGCTAGATTGAGAAGGGCGGAGAAACGGAAGCAGCAACTCCATAGACAGACTCACAGAAGATGATTAAGCACAGGTGGTTGTTGATTGACCCCTCCCAAGAGAGATTATAGGTGAGGCGTTGGGAGGGGACATTTGCAGGAAACAACCATTCAAATTAGTAATTAAGAAAATCTATCTGTGTATTCTAGCCGTGTCTGTTCGTTTGGACTATCTGGGTTGCTTCAGAGATACTCTATTGAATGTGAGTTGCCTGGGCCCTCAGCCAAAGGACTCGTTGTCTCAGTAAATTAAACAGTGGCAAACAGCCAAGCCTATGTTCTGGTTTATTCACAGGCCGGGGTGTCAGAACACAGACCTATAGCTCACCGTATAATAGAACATGTGAGATATCTTCAACTTCTCCTTTACCACATATACAAACCCGTTCTGCTATTGGTGTTCTCTTATACCTGCCCTGGAGGAGTGCTGAAGGAAGAATGTTAAATTTGGCTCTGAAGAAAGCTATTCTTTGTTTTGGGAAGATCAGGTCATTAAGATATCTTGCCGATTCCCACACACACTGTTTGATTCTGTCCCTACTGTGGAGAGGCAACCTATTTAGTTCTTCTTGGAACTCCATGTCCTTCATTCTTTTGATTACTACTTGCTTTGCTTGGTCAAAGCCTAGGACATTAAGAATACTGCTGAGAGCCCTTAAGAGCCCAGCTTGTGATCTATTGCCTGTTTCCAGGGGGAGGGGAAGTTGTCAGTCAACACTAGAGGGCACCAATCCCTCTGGAAAGAAATGCATTTTAAGCCAATGAAGGCATGCCTGTCTCAATTCTTAACTGGGCATTTGGAGTTCCTTTGGGTGCAGCTAAGATGGCTCGCAGGAATTTGGTTTGTATAGTTTCTTGCAAGTCTTTCTTTGCAAGGATTCCTGTTTGTACCCCATATAGAATTTGCGCCAATGTTTTGGTCTCAAAACGTTTTAAGGCAGCGTGTACTAACTGCCCTCCGCCTGTGTAAGAAGTGTTTAATTGCATTTGAGGACCTGTTGGCTGCTTGCAATGTATGATCCAGATGTGCCTTCCATGTCCCTTGGGAGTGGAAAACCACCCCAAGGTATCTAAATGTTCTAACCTGTTCCAAACTATGTCCTTCTATTTTCCAGGAGTATTGGCTAGGTCTTTTAGCGAAAACTAATTTTTTTGATTTATCAAAGTTAAGGACCAGCTTGTTTTGCCTGCAGTAGCCGAGTATTGCCCCAATTGCTCTCTTCAGTCCTACAGGAGTTTGTGAAATAATAGCATCAGCAGCAGCATATAAGAGAATTGGAATTTTGCCTTGTGCTAGGTTAGGAGGATGGAGATCAGGGTTCTGTAAGGGGATTGATATAGATCAGGGGATTGATATAGAAGTTAAAGAGGAGTGCAATCCTACCGTACCCCTTTTTGTACCCTTACTGGGCCGGTTAAAGTCCCTTGGGGATTGCACCTCACTTTCAAGGTGGAATTGGCATACAAGTTTTGTATGAGGAAGAGGAGGTGTTTATTGATAGTAGTGCATTTTAATTTCTCCCAGAGGGTGCTCCTGGACATTGAATCAAAGGCCTGCTTAAAATCAAGGAAGGCCACATTAAATCAAAGAATGCTAAGATGCTTGTTTGGCTATATGTGCAACAAGGAAAAACATTGAAATTAGCAATCTAAGTAGATAAAAAATTATCCAAAGAGATTTGAGGATTATATTATTTTTTATTTACTTTTGGATGAATATAATTTAATAATATACATGTTTTCATTCCTAACCTCCCAGTTGAAAATGTTCCAGACTTTGAATGTTCACTCAGCATTAGGTGATCATCTGAGCATTCATACAATTAATCCAAACATCCATATAGACACTTTTTTTTGCATTGATTGAAGAGGTTAGGTTAATCTGAAGGAGTGCATGCTAAGAGGAAGATGAAATTTCTGCCCAAAATATTCCAACTGATAACATGTGCAGGTGTAAATGTAAATATATGTGAATTCAGTGATGACCACTTGAAGAGCCACAATTACAGCTAAACAACCTGTGCTGTCAGAGAAAGCTATTTGGAGAGTATATGGATGGGTTAGGAAGGATTCCTATATTAATCCTGTCTCATGTGTTTAACTAAAATAAATCATGAATCACTTTTTACTGAGCCACATGAATGATAAAATAATCCAAGCTTCCTTCTACTTATATGCAAAACATGTCATTCCAAGAATGGAATGTTCTGGGGAACACTGGAACATTCTATTTTTTTCTTCCAGCTATGCTTCCAGTCATCTTGGGGGTGGTCCAGAGACTTTCCAGAAGTAAACCTTCTGGAAGTAAAAATAGTTCATATTTGAATTGGGGCCAGACTCAGGGAGGACAAAGGAAACAAGTGATGATACATGCATCATGATACAAATAATGCAACATATATTTTAGATGTCCGGCAAGATATAAGGACAGGTTTGCCATCATGATGTCACCATGCGTCATCATTTTGTTTTGGGCTTCCTACAAGAGCCTGTTGGCCAGATTGCAGCTGGAGCATGACAATCTGTTCCTGTTCCAAAAAATTACACACGCAGAATTGCTGGATTGGCATGATCTAGGAGTAAAACAATATGTGCCAGTGTTCCCTGGAATGTTCTGTTCTTGGAGCAGTCTGACCAGCCCTGCTTCTTTCTTTTAGTTTTCAAATGACTGAGTTTGAATCCTCAAATTAAGGTGATGCAGAAATGGATGGACTGGGGGAGGAAAATAATTATTTTTGAAGTGTCCATGGATTTAATCATTCAAAAAGCTACAATGAACACAGAGCAGGATGACTTAAATTTTATATTACTCTAGAGTACTGTATTTGTAAATAGGTTATTTAAGAATTGGTTCAACAGTTGTGATGACATAATTTTACGTTCAGTGTTCATGTTGAGTGATACTTGAAAGCTGAGCCAGCATGTCATGTCAGGGTAGCAATAATGGTGTCCCTATAATTTAACAAAGTTTGCTCATATTTTGAGAGACGCTGTAAAAGTCTTTGAGCAAAGAGGCTTGCATTTCAGTAGGGTGCTGTAACATAACTGCTTTATTAAATTTACCAGGTTCAGCAGAAGATGATCTTGTCTTGGAAGTGGTGATAATGATTGGGACTGTATCAATGGATGATTCCTGTGCAGCGCTGCTAGCTAAATCAGGAATTATTCCAGCACTTATTGAACTACTGAATGGTATGTAGCAAGTGTTGCACACGACTTTTTGAGTGTTTGCTCATTATGCATTAAAAATTACTTAATGTTCCCCAATTTTTATTATCAAAATTTAGCAATACTGTGCTGGAATCAAGGTTTTAGTACAGCGTTAGGAAGTTTCATCCCATCTCGCACCAATAATGAGATGGAATTTTAGCAAGTAAAATAGTTTGTGGAGTAAACAATTTTTTAGAAGAAATTAAGGTTTGGTTGAGTGCTCACAGCCCAGGATTTAAAATGTAATCTAATTTGGTCCATCTTGTTTTAAGAAGGCATCAATTACATCTGAAATTTTGAGATTTGAATTTCAGCCCTGTTTTTATATGGTGTGATTTATAGATGAGGACTAACTGCTACTATTTATGATTCTCTTGCTGGCATAGAACCAAAGTAGTTGTGTTCCAAATCCATATTTCCGGCATAATCTTGGGGAAAAAAACAGTGAAAAGAGTTGGCAAAGGAAGACATTCGTTTATTTTTTACTTTCCTTTGTACATTTTGTGTATTATTTTGCACAACAAAATGTTGGCTAGAATTTTAAGTTATAAAATATAGCTTTACTCTTAAGATTCCTGCACCCATGATGCAGTCATATGCAGAGAATGAAGAGTCAAGGAAGCTTTAAAGACTGGTGGGGATCAGTGTCTAGGACCCAGCAGGACAACTGGGGAAGACCTGTCCCAAGCTATTGAGATATCTGCACACCCATGTCCCAAGTGAGACTCATCTGTGTAAAAGCCACAAGAACGATGATGGAGTTAGAACTACAGATCTGGAAGGCACAGAAATAAGATGCTTCAGGGAATGTTTTCTTGGGATTAACAATCTGTTCAGGAGTCCACTGGTGTTTTTGAGTGGAGCAGAAGTCTAAGATGAGCCAGTACAGCCCCACTTACTCAGGAAGAGGTTTGGAATAATAATCATAAGTGGGACTATACTAATTCTTTTGCGGGATCATGATATGGTCCTAAATATCCATCTGTTCTGTAAAGCAGTTGCCTCATTCAGAATTGATTTAAAATTAAATTTTAAATAATGACATGGTAGTGGTATTTTTTTGGACTACAGAAAACCAGTGAATGGACTGTATTCAGTTCATAACTGATCCCAATTCTTTATGCCATATTTCTTGATGAAAACTGAAGTAAGCTGAGTTGACCAAGACAGATGTTGTTTTTGTTTTTCTCAGTGGAAGTCACATGAAATTCTGGAACAAGAAATGTATTTCCCTCTTTAGACAATTTGTGGTGTGTTTTCTTGCCCGAGGAGAAGAAAATGTATGTTGGGATTGCACTGAGATATAATATAGCAATAGCAATAGCAATTAGACTTATATACCGCTTCATAGGGCTTTCAGCCCTCTCTAAGCGGTTTACAGAGTCAGCATATCGCCCCCACAGTCTGGGTCCTCATTTACCGTGTCCCAAAGCTTCCGTGTTGTTGTGGCTTTTTATGGTCTGTTAGAT